TCATGATCTCACAGTTCATGAGTTCGAGCCCCGGGTCGGGCTCTACGCTGGCAGCCCGGAGCCCGCTTGGGATCCTCTCTCTCCCTTTCTCTCTGACTGTCCCCAGCTGGCACGCTCTCTCGCTCTCAAAATACCAGTAAATAAACTTAAAAAAAAAAAAAGATATTAAAAGGAAGGAAACACATACAGCGTGGCATGCCCAGATGCTGTGCATCTGGGGCCAAAGCAAATGTCTTCACAAAAATCTCTTCTCTTGTCTGGTTCTTTGGTCTTTCTTTACCTGCTGACGGGCCTCAGCCGTGTGGGTGTGCGGCTTTCCTCCCCACCGCGTGGCCGCTTCTGCAGGCAGCACTTGGTGGGAGGGTGCCTCATCCGTGTCGGGGGGACAGTGACAGTCCCTGCCTCTCAGGGAACAAGCGCGGGGCCCCGCTCGGGGGCCTGGGCCTCGGCCACCTCATAATCCAATGAGAACGACGATTGCTTTTCTTTCTAAGGACTTGGCCAGGGCCTCACAGCTCGGACGACCAGGCGCCTCCGCTTGGACGACCTCTTCCTGAAGTTGTGCTTTCGGGGATCGGAGCCTGGTGTCGGGTCGTCTCCTCCCTCTGGGTTGAGCCGAGTGCCCATGGCACCGGCCTTGGCCTAGGAAGACCCTGGAGGGCCTGCCACCCTCAGGGAGGCGGGCCGAGGTCGGACCTAAGTGGGGCCTGTCTCTGAAGCGCTCACATGCACTGTCGTGACTGTCTGCTCGTGCGTCTGGAAGAACACGCGTGTGCACATGTGTCTCTGCACGCCTATGCTCACGCATGGGTGCGCGTACCCGAGCAGGGCTGCGGCCTTGCAGTCCCAGGAACTTCCATTAACACCGTGGTCTAGGGGGGCCCGGGTGGCTCAGTCGTCTGAGCGTCTGACTCTTGATTCTCAGCTCAGGTGGTGAGCCCGGGGTCGTGGGATCGAACCCCGCGTCTGGCTCTGTGCTGAGCCTGGAGCCTGCCCTCGATTCTCTCTCCCTCTGCCCCCTCCCCTGCTTGCGCGCTCTTTTTCTCTCTACAAATTAAAAGGAAACAAAACAGGAACAAAAATACCCACCGGTAGTCTGAGCGAGCAGCTGTGCAGCCGCGGGGAGCCTCCCGTCACTCTGACGATGGTGGCAGGTTGGCACACGTGTGTGGGACACGTGGGCCCCTCTCTGTGCACGTGTCAGTGTGCGCGTGCGTCTGTGTCCCGGGGTGTACGATATGTGTCAGAATGCGTACACACACTTGGGCCTCTGCGATACGTGCTCCCGGGCGCGTGGACGTGCTCCCCTATCTGTGTGCGCGTGTGGTTGTACGTGCGTGTGGGACAGAGAGGAAGAGAACCGTGGGCCCCGAGTCACCCCCTGTGCTGGCCCGCTGGGGCCCTGTCCCAGGCGCAGGGGCAGCTGCCCTTAGAAGCCCTGTGGGCCACTCCCCATTTCCTGAGCGCTGTCCGTCTGTCCACAGGAGTGCTGCTGGACGTACAGAAGTTTTTTGAGATCAGTGATAGCTGTGCTGGTTTGCTTCAGACAGGTAAGGGCTGAGTCCCTGGTGGAGCTGGGGCCCTGGGCTCATGCTGGGGAGGGGCCTAGTTCCAGCTGCTGGGAAATGGGGGCCAGGCTGAGCCCCGCTGAGTCCCCCCGGCACAGAGGAGGGGACGCTGAGGAAAAGTGGTGCTGGGCGTGAGGGCAGTGTGGGTAGGAGAAGGGAGAAGGTCGGCCCGGTGCCTGAGCAGGGACTTCGGCTTTGAGTGCAGACACTGCAGGAGCGGGGAGGACGGCTGGAGAAGGCCCCTGAGCTTCAGATCATGACTGTGGCGTGCTCTCTTGTGCCTATGTAGCCCGGCCGGGGCGAGAGCCGGGCTGGGGTTGAGAAATCCCGACACGTGCTTTCCCCTGTGGGCCGGAAGAATCTGGCCCCCGGAACTCAGACAGACAGACAGACAGACAGACGTACTTCCCACATGTGTTCAGATGGGGTTTGGGCCCACGGGGCCTACAGTCCAGCGGTGGGGACCAGCCACACCTTCCATCCACGGTGACACACACGTGCCCCCATGGGCACACTCACTGTCACGACACCGGATACGCACGTGTGCACACACCCAACATGTAACCGGCACCCGTGTGCCCCTCTCTGTGGACCCTCCTTCCCCCAACAGTCTCGCGACAAGTGGGACCCCTGGGGATACACAAAAACCTTTCAGGGGCTACACGGGCAGAGTGGGGAGAGAATCCGCTTACAGACCCTCAAGCCTGTGTTTTTCTTTCCTAAAATGGACCTGCCTGAGAGAAAGCTCCTGGCTCCTCTTTCCCACCTCACCCCTCCAAGCAGGAAAATGTCCCTCTTCCCTATTCTGTGTTTCTCCCACGCCCAGCCCTGGGGTGTGGAAGCCTCCAGGGTGCCATGCAGACGGGACCCTTCACAGATGCTGGGCTCCCGTGCGAGGCTGTGGGAGCATAGCAGAGAGGGTGTCAGTACAAACCCACTGGGGGTGTTTCCTCCAGGCCACAGACCCGTGGCCAAGTGCCAAGCCTTGTCTGTCTTCCTGCTGGCGTGACAGTCTACTATTTATCTCCAATTTAGCATTCAGAAGCAAGATGTTGTCTCAGGGATGGGTGTCAACACATTTATTTCAGATATCTTTGAATACTTAGTATCTTTCTCACAGGCAATCATCCTGATTTGTTGGATCGATTCGGCGAATAAAGACTGGTTTGCTCATTAAAGCGATGTCCGTAGATGGCAGACGTTTCCCACGAATGCAATGAACACCTCTGTGGCCCCAAGGGTTTAGATGAAAATATCGTGTAAAAAAATACAATAACGATGGAAATCACATCCTTAGCAATTATTTAAACTTAGGATGAGAACGTTGTAAATGTTGGCTGAAAACGCATGAAGGGGTACATAGTTCTACAAACGTCTTTAAAAGGCACCGGAGGAAAAGAGTTAGCAGGCCACCGTGTACGTCCCAGGTCCGTTCTGACTGCTCTTGACTCAGGGCTGAGGCCGGTGCTGGTCTCCAGTCATTTCTGTAGCCAAAGCGAGACCATCTCAGCTCGATACCTGCAACTTCTAGGTTAAACAGATAATGGGAGGTGAGTCGATATTTGCCCCCCTGGTCCTCTCCCTGGTGAACAGGATTATTACTACAAAGCGGTGATAAATGAGATGTCATGGAAGGAGTTTGTGCAGGTGAGGGAGAGGGGCAGAGAGAGAGAGAGAGAGAGAGAGAGAAAGTACGTGTGTGTATGTGTGTGAGTGTGTAGAGAGGATGTGCGTGTGCCTGGGTGTGTGTGAAGGGAGGCTCAACTCTGCAGAAGCAGCCCAAAGGGTATGTGGAGAAGGCAGTGAGGTTGATGACCAGATGACCAGGCTGTCTCCGGTGACCTCGGGTGAGTCTTCGCCTTTTTCTGGGTTGTCGTGAAATGGCCTGAGACCCACCCTGTGTCTGCAGAAGGGAGGGAGCCCCTGACTCAGCCGTGGCTGAGCTGTAAGAGTGGGGCAGAGGGTGGGGGTTAGCAGTGGTCAGACCCCCCCCCTTCCAAAGGGACAGACTGGCTCTTGGAGTTAGTTCGTTGATTAATAACATTTAATGATGTGGCCTTTACCATGTGCCCAACACTATCTCAAGTGTTTTGTGATATTAACTCATTTAATCTTTACAACAAACCCACGACGCAGGTATTGTTATTATGCCCATTTTATGCATGCCGAACCTGAGGCACAGAGAGGCTATGGGGCTTGCTGAAGGTCACACAGCTGGGATCAAATCCAGGCAGCTTCCTGTGGAGTCCTTCTCTTAACCCGCTGCTCTTTTATCGCTCCCATTTGTCACAGAAGTCATTGGATGCTATAGGAGCAAAGGAGTGTGTGTGTGTGTGTGTGTGTGTGTGAGTGTGCCTTCCTTTGGGGGCAAGGTTCTCCATTTCAGGGCATCTGTGGGTTTAAGGTGTTTAGATCTTATAAAGGATCCCTGCCCCGAATCTCATAAAAGTATTAGAACTTTTGGGGAAGTATTTTTATAACCTTTGGGTAGAGAAGAGATGCATTAAGGAGACAAGAAACACCACACCGGGAGTATTGACACATTTGAGGACACCAAGGTAAAGAAGGTAAACTCGACATGATTGAAACCATAAATGCAGTTAGTAACAACAATGGATGACATTTATTAGGCATTAACATAAAGCTAGTCACTGCCTTTTTTATATGCTTAACTTCATTGAATCTTCTCGATAACCTTCTACAGGAAGCACAATGCTATCTCATTATATAGTTGATTCGAGGGGCACAGAAGAGTTAAGGAATTTGCCCAAGGTCACACAGCTAAGCAGTCATTGGGTCAGGATGTGAGCCCAGAATTTGCATTTTAAATCCTTAAACGTAAAGGCCTGGGAGAAATTATTTGCAATTCCCACAAGGGCCCAAGAGAGAAATGGGCAGAAGGTGTGAGCACAGGAACTGACATAAGGACAATGCAGATTAAAACATCAGCGAGACACCGTCTGTGCCTCAACCATTAAGAGGAACAAAGTGACTGATCATATCAAGGGAGCTGAGATACGCGCTTCTGCACGAGTGTAAACGGATACAGCCTTTTTTGGAGGCCTATTTTGGAGGTAGCTATTAAAATTCTAAATGTCCCTGGCACCAAAGACCATTCTCTGTGGAGTATTAGGTCGAACCATTTTAAATTGCCTTATTTTTTGTAGGTCAAAACTGGCCTAATTTCTGCAACCGCGCACGGCTCCACCCAATACCAGAGCGGGTGGGGCGGAGTGGGAGGGGCTGGGACGAGTCTGGACGCTCATTAGGCTCAGGCAATGTCGATCATGAGCGCTCAGCGAATGCGGACCCAGGTGTGGGGCGGGGCCTCGGGCGGAGGCGGGTCCGGACGCCGCGCTCACCTGCGGCCGCGGACACGCCCCCCCCCCCCC